TGATACTGACAAGCCCTGGATCCATCTCTGTACTGGACACACAGAGATGAAATTAAATCAGTCTTCTAATGTGACTATCCGGACAGCAAACCAATTGATTTCCCAAAACATTGGACAGTTCCTTTCTCAAAATTTTAGAGCGTTTTAGGCCAGTATAAATGACTGTACACTAAAAATCCCAGAGGGACGCGCAACAGTAGATTGTAAACACCTTCCATCACAATTTACCCTTTTTTTTTGTGCAATAGTGTTGACTCGTGTAGGCAGACATTCATTAAGTCATCATCATGATATAAATCCATAGTTGTTCTACAAGCAATGCAGGTTATATAAAGACAGGGTCTTTATGTTGAATAAGCAAAAAATACTGTTTTTCTTACATTAGTGATGGTTTGCTTTGTGACTGTCATTTGAGAATCTCTAAACACCAGTAATTACCGCAGGCCGCAGCAGCAGCAGCAGCAGCAGCAGCAGCAGCAGCAGCAGCAGCAGTCCAGTCACTGTATGAGGCAATGTTCTCCCACAAAGTACTGAGCAGGCAGAGCCATTTTTCCCTTGTGGTGCTGGTGTTGGTTTCACAGTTCAAAGCACTGTGTTATTTGTCTCTGTGTGAGTCAACACATCCTCTCTCCTTTCTTATTACAAGCTTTTCCCCTCCAAATCATAGAGCAGCTCTCTGATCCTTGCTGGGGAATCTCATTTTTCTGCCTGGGTGGGATATTATAGCAACTTTTATGGGCCTGGTAGCTCTTAGCTGTCTCTTCTATAAATGGTCACTTCCAGGCATGATTTCTGTTGTTGTGGTACTTTATTGTAAAGTTTTAGTAAGGTGTTACCTGGTTATTCCTTTATCCAGTATTTGTCTGCCTGACAATAAAGTTCTCCCATAGACCTTGGTGGTCAGTTGACATGCGCTGACCTTTGTCTTACGCGGGTTCCTGTATTAACTGCAGTAGATGTTGGTTGAGGCTGACACAACTTGAAGAAATAGCCAACATACCTACTGGTAACCCTCATTTGTCTAATTCTAAACCTTTTAGTTGCCTAAACTTAATTAAACCTTAACCATAAAGGCGGCAGATCAGAAAACTATGACTTGTTTTGGAAGGCAATGACATACTACATATTTCGTCATTTCGGTTGGTTGACTTGTAGTAGAGGTGTGAATCTTAACTGGCCTCACGATTTGATTTGATCACGATTCACCTGTCAATGTTTCATTAAGTCAGCGAAGCAGTCAGATATATCTCAACTCTTTTTATATTGAAAGTGCTCTCAAAAATCAACTGTTTATAACATAGAAAGCTGCATATTTTCATTACCAGTGCCTGTTTCACATACCGTTAGTACATAAATATATATCTTTTGCTGTTATTGTTACATACGAGTCAGTCACAACACAGGTCCAGGAATCACATGTAAATGTTATTTGACTAGTTTTGCTCATTAACTCCATTACCTAGGCTTTGGTTTTGCTGTGGATTGCAGGTTTTGCTGTTTCTGTAAAGTCACTTTGTTGACACAGATATGATTCTGTTCCCTTTCTCAGAGTTCTCAGAGTGCCCCTTAATTATTGGCTGCTTTCTGAGCTTGATGAATTCTTTATGGTTGACGATAGCCGTTTTCACCATGAGTCACTTAACACGTAGTAACGCAGATTGTGAGGATGATTTTAAATATAGCGTGTGTCTTGTCCAGTTCGTGCTTCCTAGTCCAAAATGTACCCAAATTGGCTCATTTTTTATCACTGGCTGCTGCTTTGCCTCTCTTCATCATATCTCCTAACATATAAAAGTAGGCTGCAAACTCCTGATTATGTTGAGTTTATTCTATTCATTTAAGGTTTGATTTGAATGACTAATAGGAGCAAACATCCCCAGGAGAATGGTTGTATCTATTCTTGCATATCTAGCATGAGGCCTAAACGAACGTACCAGCTGTCTGACCCTATGTCCAAACAAATTTAAAATATTAAGTCCTCCATTGTTTTGGTAATTTAATATTTGCTCTCTCAGGAAACATAATGAAACAACACGTAACAGATCGTTTGTTTCTCAAGGCAATTTTGTTTTTTGAGAGACTTAAATTTGGTTCCAGTGGTCTGTCAAATTTGGCCCTACAGGCCCCAGAATACTTAGGCAGATCCAGTTTTTTCGGTAGCAAGGATAAGATTTCAGATATAATTTTTTTTACAGTTTATTATGCGACACAATTGTAATACTTCTCAAATACATTGCAAGCTAGACACAGTAACTCTGCAAAAAGATGTTTGATATATAAAAGAAATAACCGTAGCAAACTGCACACCATTACATTTGTAGCCCCCAATTCATCAAGAAGCATGGTAAGCGTAGAGACTCAAGTGTGAGATGCAAGGCTTTTAAACAGTACATATGCAACAATACATGGATTATTCTGGCCGATTGGCTTCCAATGCATTGGGGCCCTCTAGGTTCTTGGTTGGGATTTAGTGTCTTGGTTGAATCCATAATGCAGTGTTACAGGGAGACCTCAATCTTGCATCACAAGCCTGTCAGGGCTTCCCTGAGAACAAAAAATCTATGAGTCACATTTGTGCACTCCGGGAAACAAGCTCAACAGACACTAGGCTAGGCCAGACAATACAAAGCTCATTCCAGGCAAGAACATCTGCAGAGGTGGCTGCTGAGCGCCTCAAGTAAGCAGTCCTAGATTGACACTGGAGCCCCCAGCTAGCTAAATACATGGTGGAATGTTAAAACCTCTTAACAGTCTTAACAAGCCGACTCAATGTCAACAGTAATAATGATGATGATGAGGAGGAGGATAAAGGAGTAGATTGATGCACAGTTTGAGCCAGGCATTTCAAGAGCTCTTTCTTGTAACCAATGGCATATTGAAGTACATAGAGATCGTTTAGTATCGGCAATGGACATGTGACATTCTTATCTATTAGTGCTGGGTGTCATTAGAAATTAGATTGTTTTGATACAGGTTCCAATACTACAGTCCGCCTAATATCTTGGCATATATTGTCAGTTTGTATGTCAACTAGAATTGGTTGACAATGTTTGTTAAATTATTTAACATGTTAAAGAATATATTACATATTTATATATATTTTTTAATATATTTAACTTAAGTATTCTTTAATATTTTTGGGGGTTTTAGAAAGCAGCATTTTGATGACGTTTGCATAGTCATGTCATTGCAGAATCCACATAGAAAAGGTCTATTTTCATTCCAGCTCAAACATTGACTATATTGGCTGCCTTATTGGTAATATAATGTGTGCATTTTTTCCCTCGGTATCATTTTCATTAATCCCATATCTGTCGGGGACTATCCAATACTGACACTAAACATTTTCAGTACGTCTTTGCTGAGTATAAACTTGCTTTTTGAAATTTCATCAAAAAAGACAAACGCTTCACAAATGGCTAACTTCTTAATGTTGCGATATCTCACCTCGTCCAAGGCAACTCGGGCATAAATTGTCGTATGACCATATGTCAAAAGTACAGTATCTTTTGAATGGCCACAATTGAAGGCGACAAAGCTAGCCATCATAGAGAGGGGCGAGATTTAATAATGTGTTGTACTCTCAGTATCACCTGGAATTACGTTCAGAACTTTGACAATGAAGTTTTCTGTTCAAGCAGTAGGGTTGCAGATGTACAAACCCTCTTCCCCCAATGCCGACTGCAGAAAGGAAGTTTCGTATGCTGTCCCACAATCTATGTGGGACATACTTTTACTCACCCTGATGGGCTGTTCTCTCTCCTTCTCCACCTATGGACTGGGACAGCTTGCACTGTTGTGGGGTAAATTTATGTTACAGATGAAGGGTCATTTTCAGTACTTGACGGTTTTCTATTCTTGGCATTACAGACACAAGTTGGTTGGTACTCAGAATGTACTGAAGTTCCATTCCCTGCCCCACACAGCACAGTGGTTTTAGTAGGGGTGTTGTTTCTGATGACCAGTGAAGATATACAACTGCCTAAGTGCAGTGCTCTGATTCTTGTTGTCATGGTTATTCTGAACGTTGAGCAATTTGTGGTTTTTGTTGAAATGCAAACCATTTGGGGTCTACAGCACTAAGAAACCCCAGAGCCAGGTCCTACAGTGTAGCCTTTGCGCCGAGCCATTATAGAGCCATTGGTTCTTCTTCTACTTTCTGTTGCCATTCTTCTCAGATATCAAGCCTGGAGATTCATGATGATAAGTGGCTGGCTACCAATAGTGCAATAATAAACAGCATTAAATAGGTTGCAGCTTTTAAATATCAACTGAAGGTGCATCATCAGTTTCACAAAAAATAATTTGTACTCACTGTTATTAAGAACCTTTCATTCAGCATGACAATCTAGATTGCAGGGGCTAGGAAACCTGTAAGGATAACACACCAATGGCCTATTAAGTGCAATCAAGAAGGTACACTCTAATGCTGATGGTGTGTTTGGGGAGACTGGGAGAGAGCTAAATTCCAGATAAAATACTGTATCTTTTTATAAAACACACATCCTTCTAAAAGACCAGTCATAAAAAAGTAAAACATGTAAAAGTCTCCAGACTCTCTTAAAAAACTGCAGTTTTTAAAGTTTTTGAGTTGGGGGGGTAACTTCATAAACTTTGTGAAATGTTTTGTGAAAAAACATGGTCACTTTCTGGCACACAGGCTACTCTGTCTAGATAACTGACATAACTCGTTAACAGCAGATTAAGCCAACTATGTATTAGTGCACCATACTATGAGAGTATGTCATTTGTCTTCTGCATGTATTGCTTTACCTGCAATTAACTGAAATAAAAAAATCCTCCTGATTGACTGCTTTGTGATTGTCCAGCTCAGTGCACTGCTCCATGAGAAACCCACTTGAAGTTAACTGACACTGATTAATAGAAATACTCGATACACATACATGCATATGTGAGCTACTCAGTCACAGCAATGGGAGTCCCACTGGTGTAGTGTTTTATAACCATGGTCTTCCTTTGTGTGTGCCTGTTCGTGGTAGGGAAGAAGAAGGAGAAGATGTCAAAAGCGGGTGAGGAGGGTCGCGGGAAGAGAAATGCCATTCGCCTGCATGAAGCATACACTGTGGAGACAGTGGTGGTGGCAGACTCTGATATGGTGCAGTACCATGGCGCAGAGGCAGCGCAGAGGTTCCTACTGACTGTCATGAATATGGTAAGAATCGCAGAATTTAAATACAACAGTTGAGTTAGTGTTCAATATACTGTATACCTGGTTGTTAGTGATTGTTAAGGTGCCATGTACTGAAAAGCATGGGTCCTTTGTAGGGTTGACTGGTTCATTATTTTTGTCAGACTGTTGCTGTCTTGATGGCATTACCACACCAGATTACTAGCCTTCCTGAGATTGATGCCCAGAGCCAGAAGCAATTGTGTCAAACATGTTACGATACGACACTGTCTGTGACTCATGTATCATTTCGGAAGTATGTCATAATAAAAAAGGACCATAAACCTTCTTGATTCCTCTGTACTCATTTGTCTTTGTGAAGTCAGTAGTAGTGTTGCTCTGTCTCTTCAGGTCTACAACATGTTCCACCACCAGAGTCTGGGAATCAGGATCAACATTCGTGTCACCAAGCTGGTGTTGCTTCACAACCGTCCAGTAAGCCTGACTTTTCACCCTCTTTGACTTTTCTTACTCTCTGTCGACCCAAACAACCTGACTGTCAGCAGATGATGACCCCACCCTGTGTGTGTGATTCCCTTTTTCCCCTTTTAAAATGATTCCCTGTCTAAATTAAAGGTTCTAAGTCTTCTGCATGTAAAATTTAACAATCAGTTTCTCAATTTTTTGAATTTAAGAGTTTAATCTGATGTAATGCTACTACTTTGCATGAATACTTTGGTCCCCAGGCACAGGATAGTTTCTGAGTTCCTACTCACACACATATTTTTTAACATCTGACACTGTTTATTCTTTTCCAAAGTTTTGAATATGTCATGTGACTCATGTGAACACTGTAAATTCAACCCGCACAATATGTTGCTAGTCAGTTTGACCCATTTACGCTTTTCAAGCTGTCCATAATTAAACTTTACGAGGCAGCTGGACTCACAAGATTGCACAAGAATCCCTCTTGCCAGGCTTCAATCTATGTAATTGTGGGTTTGTGCATTGAAACTACAGCAAATAGCAGACGAAGTGTAGCCGATAAGAGCAGCTCAACTCGCAGTACGTCACTGCTGCTGGCTCTGAAACACCAACATGGTGAGAACATAATGCCAAACTCATAGCTTCAAAATGGTAGTCCACAAACCAGTGGGTGATGTCACGATGGGTTCACACTTGACCTGTACATTGTATAACATACACCACTTACCACCACTTTAGTCCAAACTGACATCTATTAGATGGATTTCCACGACATGATTCAGACAGTCATGCCCCAGCTGATAAATACTGATTACTGTGGTGATCCCCTGAGTTCATATCTAGCATCACAAGGTTGACATTTTTGGTTTTTAGTCAAAGGTTTTGACACCTGTCGGTCTTTAGTGTAATTACATTTGACTATTTGCAAGTGTTTTTAAACAGTGTGGGTCATAACATTATAGATTTTTAAATAAAAGGAGCATTAAAGCTAAAGACAGATTGTGATAAAGAACCAAGAGAGGAAGATGTGAATCTGCTCTGTATCTGTTATTCAGGAAAAGCTAAAGGTGGGCCATCATGGAGAGAGGTCTCTGGAGAGCTTCTGTCAGTGGCAGTATCAAGAGTTTGGGGGGCCGCGGTACCTTGGCACCAACCACGTTCCTGGTGGAAGGGATGACATCCCACCAGTGGATACTGCTGTGCTGGTCACCAGGTATGTAGCCAGCACTGCCTCAGATGAATGAATGGTAATGATAAATCTATTGAATGTGGTCTCAGCTCTCTTGCTTGGACAGCTGCTTTCAACTTGACTATGAAGAGTATGACTGTCACCTTTTCAAGTTTGAATTAACAAAAAAGTTATTATACTTTGGTGTCTGCTAGTGCCTGTGTGATCTTTTTTTTTTTAAATTTCATCATGAGAGGGGATACATATAGGGTTTGTGCGGACATCTCTTTCCGCTAATTTGTTGTGACTGTGCGGACTATCCAAACAGGCCACTACGTATGACTAAACTTTGTGAAACATGTCTGCCAAGTAGAACTCCAGAAAATGGTATTAACAGAGCTACTATGTGGCCATAGTGTCTGCAGCTGTCTGTATACGCATCTGTTCTTGAGTATATTTGAGCCTTGAGAACTAGCACAGTAATTCATTGGAATTATTTTGAACTCTACCCACCTATCCTAATCCTAAACTACGTTGTAGCATTGACGTTGATGTGTTCCTCCATTGCCTCACTTGGGTGACAAGCTAATGTTGCTCCAGCAGGCTTTACAGTAAGGCAGTCTTACAGTAGGTAAAGCCACAGCTGGGTTTTATGAAGTCAGACAGGCTTACCTTTATCCATGATTTTTCCATGTATGTTTGTGGATTCAAAACTTTTCATTGCTCTGCTCATTACTTCTCCGATGGTTTAGTGTCATAATTAGATGTCCAGAATGGTTTGCTCATTTTCTCCATTTTACATTTGCAAAGAGTAATTAAATATGGATTTTTTTTCCCCATACGCCACTGGTAGTTTGAATAAAATGTGAGGTTACTCAGAGAAAGCAAGGTTAGACGAGTAATCAGAGAAAGTTTGTAAAAGCACTGTAGTAAACTGCATGCAGCAGCACCAGCAGCAGCAGATCAGTAATCAGTTTTCTACCTTCTTATTTGTATATCTGTGTTGGAGTGGGACTGGAACAGACAGACCAGAGCCTTTCCTCACAGCGCAGTTTTAATAATGTTAAGCAGTAGAAACTGACTCGTTTAGACTTTTAGATGCTACTTTGTGTTAGTTTCTGTGTTGTTCATTTTATATATATATATATATATATATATA